GTTTGAAAAGGACTTTAAATCCACTAGGCATGATTCTTATTCTTTGACTGCATGTGTACATTGCCTTCTTTGTCACATAAAAAGAGCTGGCTGGCTGCATCCTCGTGAGCTAGAGGGTACTGAACTTCAAATGGGCCATAGGCTGCTTTTGCAGAGCCATAACAGTTTTGTTTCAGATCTTCATTATTTACAGTTGCCTCCATCACAGGGCATGAGCTGGAAATTCAAACAGTTTGCAGCTCACAAGCAACAAGAGATAAAATCTTTATGCACCGTGGAAGGAATTTGAACATTATGTTCTTTAGGCTGTAAAACACCAAGCATTTGGGCCAATCTTAACTCTTGACTGGCTGAACAGTTCTAACCCTTTAGTTCTAATGTATAGTCAGAGCAAAATGAACTTGGGGTAATATTTTTAAAAGCACCTACGTGAGTTAGGAACCTGTGTCCCACAGATAGAGAGTGGAATTTAGGCATTTTTGAGAACCCCACCCTTGGCCATTATCTTCCTGGTTTCCTTTGTTATTACTGAAGACACATAGATTCAGCTCTTAGCTATACTGTTACAAATTGAAAATCACTCCACTGAGTACAAAGGAGTGATGCTGGTATAGCCAAGAGCAGAATCTGGCCCACGTAGGTTTTTCAATGAGTCTCCTCTCTGAACCTAACCCAATTTCTGATTGATGCTGCAGTGAGGCTATAATCCTATGTATATGACACTCAGACACCACAGCAAGCCTGTATGTAACCAAAACCCGGCTACTTGCTAGAAGTGATTATGAGGGCACCAGTTGAACTGTAGAACCTTACTGTTCAAGCCTTTTACAGTTTACAAGGAGTGGAGTGTTGGTGGAGAAGTCCTGTTAGAGGGATTACATTAGGGCTGGGGGTTTGCTGGAGTTTCTCCAGGTTGCTGCTGGTTTTGTTCTAGTATTGTTATTTTAAATCATATCAAAGGTACCCAGAGTACCAGGTAGAAGACCCTAACAGCCTCCCACTTGAAACTGCACGATGGGATGTGGTTTAGCAAATAGTAAAACTGATTAGAAACACGAAAGGTGAATTGATCAAGATTTTAAATGACAAGATTTATATTCTGAAAAGTGACTATATTAAAAATTATAGTCAGGCTCCTCCCACTGATGGTTCCAGGTCCAGCTAGCTCAGGTTACAAGTCAGATAATTTTTCTAGGGAGCAGTGCCCCTGCTGATCCATCTGGGCCTTTCTGCCTCTTATATTCTCATCAGTAATAAAAATTCTACAGCCACAATTTAGCAGACAGTGTTGATGATGCTGTAGTAGGCAGAGAAGAAAGAATCCTGCTCCCTCACCCATAGCTGTGTTTGCTCTGCAAGCGCTAATAGTAGTCAAAAAAACCAAAACAAACCTGTTTGGGGCAAAAAAGGCAGCAGCTGTGACTCCAACACACAGTAAATCCCTGGAGTAATCAGAATGTGCTGTTTTTACATAATCTTTTTTCTAATCATAACTGCACATTGGACTCATCTTGCCAGATCACTCTCCAGCTCCTACATTATGGAAGGGAAAACATTCTGAAACGAGAAATGGCAGAAGTTCTTTTCTGTGCAGCTCTACACTACAGAGCTCTATCAATGTAGCCACCACACTAAGAATAGGCTCCCTTATGTTTCCTCTTGCATTTCAGGAGATTTCATGGCATGTGCGAGAGCTGCTGGGGATTGAGGAGCCTCTCTGGAGCAGAAGCATTGCCCTCCCTTACAGGGACAACCTGGGCTTGTTTCTAGAACACAAAGCCCCAACTGGTGCAAAAGCTGATGCCCTCACCTTCTCTCAGTTTGTCCAAGAAGCAGGATTAGAGCCATATGCTACAATTCCACCTTTGTAAAAAGCCCAGACTGCTGTGAAAGCAGACGCCCTCACCTTTGTTCAAGGAGCTACAATTCCATCCTCTCCGGATTAAAGAAAGGCACATCGATACTGTGATTTGTTTAGTGCTGACAGTATGCTCAGCCATGCACAGTCCCTCCCTTGAACATGCTTGCCATTTAAACTTCTACTCCTAAAGAAACCCCTCTGGGATATTGCCAGGTGCCAAACTCATTAGTTCAGTTACATTATCCTAAAGGTTTCCTTTTTCCCCATTGCAGGAGCTTTGTGTGGTTCAGCCATGTCTGAATACCTATCAACTGCTGCTACTTCACATGTTATCACCTAGACCATAGATAAATCTTAATCACCTTTCATTGACACCCGCTTTCCTCAAACTCAGGTGATAGATTATAAGGCTTTTCTCCAAACTCTAGTCTTTGCCATTACAGATCCAGCTGACCTCGTTCACTACTCCCACACACAGAAATAAGTTTAAAGAGTTAAGTGATGTATATAATAATTTCCTTATGATATAGTGCCTTGTGTTGTAAAGGATCTCAAGATGCTCTACAAACTATATAATGCAGGAATCCCTTTCCTCATGGAGAGAAGTATCATGCAATCTTTTACATGGTTAGGATTTTGGTTTTACATCTCATCCTACACTTTTAGGTCTCATCAACACTTTCAGCAGCAAGGCATCTCCTGGCACTATGATTAAGTGGTGGTTCAATCCTGACTGAAAGGAAAAAATGCTTCCTACCGAATCATCACTACCATTTTCTGCAGCAGCAGGGATTTCCTTGATCCCCAGTCCAAATACCGAACAGGTACAATCCTCTTTAGTGTGTGAGATCTTATTAGTTCAAAACCCAATGTGGTGGGACTGCAGCCACTGTAAGGCTGCTCTCCTGCTTACCTGTCAAAAATGCTACAGAAAGTGAATGTGCCCAACACTCTGAATTGAGGTCTTAGGACAAAATGCCATTTTAATAAGTGAGCTTGGATTGAAATAAAGCAGTTATCTGGCAGTGCTAACTTCCCAGGCAAGCAGGTTTAATAGAAAACCAAAACAAACAAAAACATGCACTGATTAGTGGAATCTGCAGTGTTACTCTAAACATTTAAAGAGCAAGCAGCGCAAATTCCCACTTTTTCCTCATCTCGCTCTGGGACAGACAGTCATCACTGTTAGGTTCCAGGACTGTTCAGTAACAGCCATGCTTGTTGGCTCACTGACTCCAATACTTTGTTGAACAGTGACCCTTTCCAGAGAGAGGACTCAGAGCTACCACATGTAAAAGTGGGAGACCCCAAAGATTTTAGCAGTAGCCAACTCATGTTCTGTGAGGGTGTTACCAAGACCTTTATGTGGCCACAAGATAGGCAAGACTGCAGATGGTGTGACAAAGCTCTGTCCTTGTCTCAGTGGGTCCCGCGCTTTCTGGCGGATTTCGCTAGCCTCAGAGGCTCACTGTGACACCCCCCCACGTAGCCCTTCTCTCTCTAGAGGCAAGGGTCACAGCCTCCTGAGCCATTTTCATCATAAGCCAGCAAGGGAGGTGAGGAGAAGCAACCCTCCCTCGCACAGTCTCTGTTGTCTTCCAGTCTCAGTGATTAATCGAGGCGGGGAAGGGGGAGCCCGGGCCCACCCTCTACTCCGGGCTCCAGCTCAGGGTCCCTAATACAGTAACTCCTCACTTAACGTTGTAGTTATGTTCCTGAAAAATGTGACTTTAAGCGAAACAATGTTAAGTGAATCCAATTTCCCCATAAGAATTAATGTAAATGAGGGGGTTAGGTTCCAGGGAAATTTTTTTCAGCAGACAAAAAAGACTCTATATATATATATATATATATATTTTGTCTGGTGAAAAAAATTACACACATATATACATATACAAACATATATACATCCATACACACACAGAGTATAAGTTTTAAACAAACAATTTAATACTGGTACACAGTGATGTTGATTGTGAAGCTTGGTTGAGGTGGAGGAGTCAGAGGGTGGGATATTTCCCTTACTGCTAAATGATGAACTAGCACTTGGCTGAGTCCTCAAGGGTTAACTCTCTCTCTACACAAGGCAGCAGGAATGGAGGGAGATATGCACATTTCCCTTAAGTACACTGCCTTGTTAATTAGATCAGCTTGCTGATAGGCAGCTGCTGCAAGCTCCCTCCGTCCTGAGTACTGGTCTGTCCCCCCTGCTCTGGAAGATGGGGTAAGCGGGGTGCAGGAGCAGGGGGGAGGGGACACCCTGACATTAGCCCCCCTCTTCCTTCCCTCCTCCCCCCCGCACAGCAAGCAGGAGTCTCGGGGAGAAGCTCCAAGGCAGAGGGCAGGAGCAGCACATGGCAGTGGGGGGAGGGACACAGCTGAACTGCAGGCAGCTGCTGCACAGGGAACTTAGGGGAGTGGGGAGCTGATAGGGGGCTGCCAGTTCACCCTGGTTCCAAGCCCCCACCAGCTAGCTGCAGCAGGCTGCTCTTCCTGCAAGCAGTGGACAAAGCTGGCGGCTGTGACATTAGAAGGGAGCATTACACAACTTTAAATGAGCATGCTCCCTAATTGATCAGCAACGTAACAACGTTAACTGGGACGACTTTAAGTGAGGAGTTACTGTAGTAGCAGCTATGGTAGCTGACTTTTTGGAAATAGGACGTGTACAATTCCCTGGGCTACTTCCCCACAGCAGCCCCCACTCAATATCTCCTTCACCGTTACCTCAGGGCCTCCTTCTTTGCACCTGATATGGATTTGTAATGCTTAGTTCCTCCAACAGCATGGCTTCCTCCAACAGCTCCTGACACGCGCACCTAACTTATTGACTGGGAGGCTTTTAGCTAGTTTCATCCAGCCCCTAATTGGCTTCAGGTGTCCCAATCAACCTAGCTATCTTCCCTGCCTTCTGGAAATATCTTAATTGGCCCCAGGTGTCTTAATTGACCTGGAGCAGCTGCCATTTACTTACCCTAGTAACAGGGATTTGTTTAGCCTGGGGCTAATATATCTGTCTCCCACTACTTTTCTATAGCCATCTGGCCTTGCCCTGTCACAATGGATACAAGTTGGGCAGCTTGCCAGTACGTCAGAATTATGAGTCAGGAATGCTATTCATTTTCACTGTTTTAATTTGCCCACTACTTTGCAGTTGGTTTGTGCTGTGGGTGATGGTCAGGTAAAGGTTTACATGCCATTCCAGCTTTATCCTTTCCACTGCAGGACAAAGTCCTCACCGTACATTCCTCCACCACACACAACCATATGGCTCCTACAATGGGAACTGGTAGGAAAGGGGTCTTAATCTCTGCCACAGTTCTCTTCAGCATTAAACCTTAGCAAAGCAGTTCCATCCCTGGAGGTTTGGAATCACACTGTCGTTATACTGTATGAAGCTTCAGAATCAGTGTTAGGAACATCTCCTGGTCTTCTTTCCAAGTCACATCAATAGCAGTTGTGGGTGGACATTGACTCATGACCCAGCACCATACTTGGATCTGCTGCGGCAGAAAGAGAAGACATTCTGCTGCCAGAGGCCACTGCTGGCCATCCCTCCACTCTTTGCAAGCAAAACTCCAAAGGAGGTACAGTACAACAAAGTAAGATGGTTCTGGAGAAGCACACTCCTTGCTAGGAGCTGACTGAAGGGAGACTCCTTCATTTGTACAGTTGTCAGGTCAAACCAGGGGAAGGTGCTGGGAAAAGAAAACAGGCTGTATTATTTATGGGCAACAGCTATCAGTTCCATACCTGTGATTTAACAAGATGGCTTTCTTTGGTCTAAGTCCTCTGTCTTAGCCCGTTGAGAAAGCAATGTGATTCAGAACCTTGTGTTCTTTGGACAAACCGCCCACAATGAGCAAAACTCACTGTGGTATTAATGGGATGTTTTTCCACAAACTGGACTTAATGGGCCTACTGCAAACCCATAAACAAACGTATCCATCAGACCAGCCCCAAAGCAAGAGTGTCAGTGCCTTGCCATTGGATCATCTTCCACTATCCATAAGAACAGTCCACTCCAGCATGACCCTCCAGCTATCTCTATATATGTTTGTACTATGCCCATCACAATGCGGCCCTGATCCTGATAGGGGCCTCTGGATGATACTGCATTACAACTAATCAAACAATAATGCAGAAAACAGAATTAGTGGGGAGGGATGGCTCAAGAATTGGTAATGAGTTATCTAGTACTCAGTTCAAATCAAGCCTTCACTGGTGGTGACCAAAAGCATTATCACATGTGACCCAGGGATCTCTTGGTGCCTGCTGACAGAGGGCACAGGGGTACACATAAGGTTTTACAAGGGTTCCTTGGAGTGGATAACTGCATAATTCGCAAGAAGGGTTCACCGAAGGGTGGCATATGAGGTCTCTACCAAGAGCCGGTAGCCCACTGGTCAACATAATCATTGTGAAATGTTTGTACAGATAATATTTAAGGAATTATGTATCTGTACTGAAAATTATGTTCGTCAGGTTTGGGAGTTAAGGCAGGTCACCAGGAGGTGAGAAACCTCTGACATGTTTCTTCCAGGCAGGAGATAATAGATGTTTCTCTCTCTTTCCGGGCATACTGAGCCACCTGCCGCACAAGAGAGAAAGAAAGGGGAAAAAAATCGATAGGAAAAAAAAAATGAGCGGGAGGGTGTGTCCTGTTTATGAATGAAGACAAAGCATAAGAATGATATCTCTTGTGGGAGCAAAGACACACACAGGTTTCTTCATGTAGAAGGCACACTAACAGCGTTTTTGTCTTATGAAAAGGGGGGTCACAGCCAGCCTGGCTGTAAAGCACTGTGAGAAGGATTTTGGGGTAAGCAACATTCTACAAGACATGAGAATATCTTGCTAATTATCTCTAGAATGCATATTATAATTTTATTTTATATATAAGCATTTGTTTTCAATATTTCTACTTGCTATTACTTGAATCTCTATGTTTTGTTAAATAAAGTGAGATTTGCTTATAGTGAAATCAAGTACAAGTGCTGCGTGTTAAGCAGAACCATGATCTGAGGTGGAACTGATGAGCTGGGTTGTACTGTTTCTTTGGAAGCAGCCAATCTGTGAATGCTGTAAGTGTCCAGTGGAATAGGGGCTGGACACTCCGGGGAAACATTCGGAGGGCTCGAGGGCTGGCGTGTCCCAATCACTAACCTGCAGAGTGACAGTGGGGCCTGCGAGGCCTAGAGGGAAGTGTTTGCATTGCCCATGGAGTTGGAGGACTGGCCTATGGCTTCCTCACACTGACCAAGGGCAGGTGATAGAGAGGTGCCTCAGAACTGTGGGTACCACCGGGAAGTGGCACACCATCCAACAACTGGTCAGTGCCCTATATGAAATGTGCTGGGATCTCAGATTGGTTCTTAGTGGACAGATCTTCTGGCATATCGCTTTTGATGGCACAAACAATTAATCAGATGTCAGGTAAGTGATGTAGCCACTCTATCATGGCAACATGATCTGGAGACATCAAGCGCATCCATCCACTTATCAAGATGATAAAGAGGGCTGCCCGTAACCAGATGGTACCCTGTTTGTTCTGGATAGGTGACCACATAAGAAAAACCACCCGACAAATTACCCCCCTTTTTGGCAGTCTCTGCAGAGAGGTCAAGCACTGAGTGGGCCCTGGAGACTGAACTCCCCTCTCCTTCCTAGCACTTGTCCCTCAAAGGCACATTGGGAGTGAGAAGGAAACTAGTTTTGCCACTGCACCTGCTCTGGGGGGATAAAAAACAGTTCTCAGACTCTGGGTCTGTTCATTTAGCAACTTCCACCAACATTAAATTTAACTTAAATGTTTTAAACAAAAACACAAAATTGGTGGGAGCAGGCCAGAAGCTCCACAAGATTAAAGCCATACAAGGGGGCAGCGGTAAAGCTTTCCTTCTGTATAGCATTGTCGGAGGACTACAAAGCACTTTACAAATAAATAAAGCCTCACACCCTCCTCCCCCCATGAATTAGGTGAGGATTAACCTCATTTTACAGATGGGAAACTGAGACAGAGAAAGGAAGTGACATCCCAAGTTCATACAGGAAGTCTGTGACAGACAGAAAAAATGAACCTAGGTCTCCTGACACCCCATTCTCTTCTCTAACTCTGAGTCTGGCTGCTTAAAAAGGATAAAGGAACATTGTTCATCATTTTTATTCAAAACCCAATTATAACTATATGGTAGCATTGGCAGGCTGTAGTCATGTGGCACCACACAGGGAGGGATGATATTCTCCAGACTGCTAGTGTAGGTGGTGGTTCTTTAACAAGAAGCGGGGGGGGGGAAACCATTAAAACCAAAAGTTTTGCTGAGGATTGGGAATGAAACAGGAGAAGGAGTGGGAGTGCAAGGCCAGCAGCAGGAGCTACTAGACAGAGTAGAAATTATGTACCTATCTTGGGAGATCTTAAGAATTACAGACAAATGAACCACACTTCAGTACCAGTAAACTGGTTTAAATGACAGTTAAAAAGAACTATAAAAGACTTAGATTAACATGATATGTTAGGACTAACCAGCACAACTTCTGTAAAGAAAAATCATGCCTTCCTAAAGTTCTTTGAATGTATCAACAAAACTATAGATATGGATGACTCGGCTAACAATTCATTTGCGCTTCCAAAACCCTTCAATGAAGTCGCTGTAAATTAGAATCACAGGGTAAAATTCTGTCATGGATCAGAGAGTGGTGAAGAGACAGGAAAGAGTACAAATATATGATCAATTTTCACCATGCCAAAAATAGGATGCCTCAAGTTTCCATGCTGGAGCCAGTGCTTAGTATATTTATCAGTGATCTGTAAGAGGAACAAACAGCAAGCTGGCAACATTTGCAAATGACATGAAATTATTTTGGTTAGTCAACATTAGAAATGACTCTGTAATTTCAGAAGGACCTCGCAAAGCTGAGTGAATAGTAACATCATGGCAGAGGAAATCCAGTGTTGACAAATGCAAGATAATGCACACAGGAAAGAGTAATATGAACTACGCAAAGTTGCTGGGTTCTAAATTACCTGTAACCACTCAGGAAAAACATTTCTGCTCTATGTGCAGTGGCCAGAGAGCAAACAATATTAGTTTGCATAAATAATGGAATGGAAAATAATGTTGACAATATTTAATGCCAGTTTTATAACAACGTTGTAATAAATCAATGATATACCCTCACCCAGAATACTCTGTTCAGTTCTGGTCTCTCCATCTAAAGGAGAAAATATAGCAGAAATAGAAGGGGTTTCAAAGATAAGCAATGAAAGATTGAAAGGCTTGGAAAGATTTCTGTGTAAAGAGAGATTGATAATATAGGGACTGTCTGGTTTAGCCACAAGAGCAATAAGAAGGGACATGATAGAGGTATATAAAATATTGAACAGCCTAGAGATGGTGAATCATATCCTCTCACATAAGAACAAAGCCACATTTGATGAAATTGGAAGGCCACAAATTTCAAATCAATAAAAGGATTTTTTTTTAAATGATGCATACTTAACCTGTAGGACTCAGTGCCACAAAATAGCATTGATGCCAAGAGCATCATAGGATTCAAAACAGGATTGGACATTTAGATGGCTAAGAACAGCCCCAGTTACATTAGATGTTTTTTCCCTCCCTCTCTCTCTCATTTATTTATTTAAAGGAAGGGATATAAGCCTGCCTGCTTCAGAGCACTGAATGAGAGGTTAGAAAGAAACTCTCTCTATGGACAGATAACTCATAGTGAATTGAGACTATTCTTGAACCTTCTCTCAGGCATTTGGTATTGGCCACTGTCAAAGACAGGATAGTGGACTAGAAGGCCCACCGGTCTGAGCTGTCCAGTATGGACGTTCCTGCGTTCTATCGTTTTACACCAAGTTGCACAACTGGAATAGGTCCTACATATCCCCACTGAGTAAATTCTTATCTCTAAAAACCGGAGTAGAGAGGCTGGGGGCTCAGAGTGAGATACTGAGGTATTCAGTGGATGGATTTCAGGCTGCTTGAGAACTGCCAGTATATTGGACTTTGGGCTGTCCATCCCTTATCACACAGGGTAACATGTTCAAAAGCGCCAAAGTCCCATTTTCAAAAATGACTTAGGAACTTGGGGGCCAAGTCTCATTAAAATCAATGAGACTTCGGTGCTTTTGAAAATTGACCCAGCACTCACTGGTGCATGACACGAAGTGAGGAGGGTGTGTACCGTATTCTTCCTCTGCAATAGGAAGACTCCTAGCTTTCAAATCCTGGGATGTGGCAAAGGTTCAGGGAGGATGGCCAAGTAGAAACATTTGAAGTTTGGCACTTTACTTACTCCTCTTGAGTCAGGGAGGAGACAAAAGTTTGGTTGACAAAGTTCCCACACACAAACCGTGGGCAAGAGGTCTTCTGCTCTGCACAGATGGGGCAGTGCTCAGGGAAACATACATCATTCAGTAACTTCAGTGCGTGCTGGTGGGGCAGGTGCCGCCACATACAGCTGTTCAGGGCTGCATAGAAAACGGCCTCCAACCACTTGCCAGTGACAGCAATTCTCTCTGCACAACAATCAGAGAACAAATGTTATCAGTTACCACTACACATACTGATGTGAAGGAAACAGCAGAGATTTTTTAATGTCTCTTTCTCTCTTGTTCCCTATCGAGAAGGGTCAACGTGGCAACAGCACTGCAATGTGCTTATTCACAGGCCAAGGAGGAGAGGCTCAAATCCAATAAGTAATAATAATAATATACTAGCTTATACCCGTCTACCATGTAAAGCACTTTGCACTGAAATAAGCTGTGTATAAAAGGACCACTCACCCACTGCAGCTGTCCCTGTGGTGGAAAATGATGGCTAACAGTTTAGGACAGGAAATTAAGAGGAATACCATATCCAGGTGAAACCATGGAAGAGATGGGAGAATCTAGGGGTGGCAAGGCAATTCCCAAGTTGGAATTTAGTCAGGGTTGACACCAAAATACTGATTTGGTCTTGATCTACACTCCGTCAGAAGGCCTCCTAGCTCCTGTTCCTGGCTTTCCCATCTGAGAGTGCCAAGGCTCCTGCTAGCTCACCGAAGGAAACGATGGCTCTCAGGAGAGTCAGAAAAGAGTTCCAGAGGCATACAGCATACACTATACACATGGAGAGAGGTCTTCTCCACAGTAATTGTCCTGACTGTAACAGTGGGGCACTGAAGCACCTGCAAACTAACAAAATCAGACAAGTCAGAGATGGAAAAGATCTTTGGGGGTCACTTACTCCATCCCCCTGCCCATGCAGGATTGGTCCCCACTAGATATTAATTCTATGTTTTGTCCAGTCTAGTTTTATCTAGCCAGTGACAGCACTGCCAGCATTTTTATTAGGAGGTTTTTCTTCCATATACTGCATTTCCAAACCATTATTCTCATTCAGTGCTGCTCAGGTGAGATAGAAACTGACTAGCTATTACTCCATACCCAGCCCTGTTCATGACTCTTACTGGGGCTAGGACAGGCTCAGAATAGTGTGAATGTCAAGCAAAGACATTGTTTCTAACTCCACAGGAAAACGCCTGCAAAGTGAGGAGAAATACATTTACCTTTGGGGCTACAGGGACAGGTAGCCTGTATAACAATAGGGTCTTGGAGTGCAGCTATGATTGTCCCATTTGTCCCCCACATATTCTCTAAGTTTCTGCTAGTGCAGTGGTACTGTGGCCTCAGGATGGCACTGTAGGAAAGGAGTTGCTTCAACCTGAAAGCAAAGTCAGTCAAATAACTCAGGGAGGTATCCAGTGCCTAGAGAGTGGCACACCAAACAAGAATAAAAGTATATTTCTATAACACCATTCATTCCAAACTCTGTTTACAGCATCACTGAAATGCAGCCACCTCTGGGGTGCAAAGAAAGCAACCAGCCATTGCACTGGACAACATGCGGGGATAAGGATAAATGTTATAGCCAGACACAAAGGCAAATCTCTGCTCTTAGGGTAAGTGCCAGGGATGGTCAATACCCACACAGCAGATGGGACCTTAAATGTTTAAGATCCTGTCTGAAAGAACCACAAGCAGTAAAGTGCAGGGCACCAAATACACTAGTCAGAGGAGGCTGAGTCAATGCTGCCAGGATTCTAATCTGAGCATGTTAGAGCTGGGACTTTAGCAGTTTTGTTTTGTTTTTTGAAGGAAGGGAAGAAGTGAGTCTGTGCTACATCCTGGTCCGATATTGATAGAACTTCCACCGACTGGGATCTGGCCCTTAATCCCTCCCTACTTTGGTAAAGTAACTTCCATATCCTGCAGAATAATAGAAGCCCAAGAGAAGGACTGGGTGGCTCTGGAGGTCAGTAATAGGACATTCGCTATTCACTGCTACAGTCCTGGTTTAAATCCAGCCCATCTCAGTAGTTACTGAAGGGTGTTCCCAGGAAACGGCTGTTTAGTAGCCTGTGTAAAATGAGATTGTGGGTCTCAGCACTGTTCCTAGTGTAGATGTCTACAGCACAAAGAGCCTTGTTACATTTGTCCCCTTGTTAGCCATCTCAGTAGAGCAGCCAAGAACTGAATGGGCCACAGAGACTGAACCTCTCCCAATATGGTCACCCCAAACATTAAAAAATCTCGCCCAGCCCCCCCCCCCCCCCCAGTTATGAAGTTAAATTTAAAAAATCATGAATTTGTTTTATATAATACTTCACTTCTATAATGCTACTTTTTATTTCTGGTCTTCTGGATTTTGACCCCTTAGGGTGCATTCAAAACATGTTTCAAGCTTTTCTCCTCAACCATGAGAGCTAGAAACTTACTTTTTTAAAAAATAAAAGCTGAAATTCTCATGTATTCATGTGACTCCCAAGGCAGGGGCTTTAAGAAAACCACCAGATATTGTGAGACTTGTGATAAAATCATGAGAGCTGGCAACACTGCAGCCCCCATGCCAGGTCAGGCACATTGGCAGTGCTGTCACTGTACTTGCCTGATGTGTGGACAAATCAGGGGATTTAGTGTGCTGGGCTGTCAAACCAGCACTGGTGCAATCAATACTACCTGGGCAGCGGGACAGCAGTGACCAGGCTGTACACAATGCAGGGTTCCCGGAGAGCAGCACGAATTCCTGAGCAGATGTGCTGTAGATGAGATGGGAGGCAACAAAGAAACACAATGTCTGCCCAGGCCACGAGCTGGCCATTGTCATAAAAACATTCGACTCCCAGCTGCTGGAACTCTGCTAGGGAAGACAAACAGAAAAGGCAATCACCACCTCAGCTCCAAGAGGTCAGGAGCAGCAGCCAGTTAGCCTGCAACATCCACACCTGTGTAGGGTAGGGTCATGATGGTGTTTGCTCTCAGGCACACCTTGGTAAGGGGTGAGAAGCATGCATCACCCCAGCTCATAATGGGGCAATCCAGCTCCTCTCACCAGGTGGCCCTTAAGAGCTTAATTAGCAGCTACCCATTAACATTATTGATGCACAGCCCATGGTAGCCAGGTTACAGAGAAATGAGCCTCTGCGCTTGGAATAAATAGTCAGAAAATGTGGTTGTCTGGCACCATTTCATGAATATTGATTAAAACTTTAACTGAAGCAACCAAGCCTCAGGATCTGGCTGATTTTCAAGATCTATAAAAAGCCATTTAATAACTCCCCCTCCCTCTCTGCCCCTTGAGAGGATTTTATTGTTGTAAGCATCTCCCTCCAGGACAGTTATCCTCTGTTCATCTTGGTTTATGTAACAATTTTATGTGGCATTTGACATTTTGCACTCAATTACGATCTATAACGTAGTACAAGCACTCAGTCCACCCCTTTTCACTTTGTATTTTAACATTTTGGAGTAAAGAGAAAAAGGAGCATCTTGTGCTACTGACCCTACAGCGTTAGGCCGAGGAGAGTCCCTGGCAGTAGTGGCTTTTCAGATCAATATGGATATTGATTTGGAGAGCTATTTTAGCCATCAAGTGAATATTTAACGCATAGGTCAGTTGGTGTTGCAGCCACTGAGCAATGGCGTTAAAAATTGCTGGGGAGAATTTAGAGTAGGGCAGCAAAAACAGTTAAGAGGCTGATGGGACTGAGTTATGAGGAAAGATTAAAGGAGCAAAATATGTATCATTTTTCCAAATGATGGCTAAAGTGGGGGATCAAATATTTCTAGAGATTTATTGTAAGGCTGTAAAATCCCAAGGAGGAGATGAGTTGTTTAGGGTGCTCTAAGGAGGTATGATTGGAATAATGGAGTGAAATTAAAAAAAGGAAGGAAAATATAGAATTATCAACATTTCCTAATGCTGAAACGTAACAGCCCGTGGAATAGACTTTGGAAGGAAAAGGGTAAAAACTCCACTGATTGGGTCTAGGGCTGGTCAAGACGTGTACATCAAAATGGTTTTTGATGGAAAATTGGGTTCAGCTAAACAAAGTTTCCCACAAAAAGTGTCTGCTTTCTGCTGAAAGCATTGAGCTTTCATTTTTTGACAAAGTCAAAGTTCTCTGTGGAAAAAAAATTCTGACCAACTCGAGTTGGGACACTGAAAGTGAGACCAGCCAAAGCAGGAGTGAACACACTATATGAGTCTTGCAGTGGCAGGGGTGCCTGGGTTAGATATGCTAGGTCTTTTCCTGTTCAAATTCCCTCGATTCACTAACGCTTACACAGAGTCTCTGGCCTCCTGGTGGAGATGTGGATATTCTGAGCCGAAATGCCACTCAGCTCCAGTAGTGCCCTGGCCAGCTGCTTTCCAATGTGGCCTCCACCAATAATCCCAACCTTCGGGCCTTCACTGCCCATGGATTCCTTGGAGGAAATCAGTGAAACCTTCCCACTCGCTTTCTGCCTGAGAAATGACACAGAGCTGACATCACTCCACCAGGAACTACAGTGTATCCATTACCCTGAAACTGCACTACACTGGCCTCCTTAGGAAAAAAACACTGACCAGATTTTCCTGAAAGGAGAGAAGACTTGTCCCATGTTTTAAAGGGTCAGTGCTATGTATTCATTCCCATTTCTAAAACATAAAACCTAGCACCAGCCAGCCCAAGCTCCAGCTATTCCTTTCCAAGATCTAAAATTCACAATGATCAACATCTATATTCACCTTAGATCCACTGCTGGGTACCCACATCACCATAATCCAATCCTGCCCCACTTCTTAATTACGCCATACAACAAATAACCTCATCCATCCCTTATCATGTCCTCTCCTCAAATGCCCATGAAGAAAAGGGGAGTTTTGCAGCATGGACAGAAGGGTTACAGATTTCTAGTAGGAATGGAAGTGGATTCCAGACCTGAGAGGCCCTCAAGGACACCTTGCCAACAGCTCCTTCTCTTCTTTATCAAGTCCTAGTGACCACACGTGCAGTAATATGGCATGGGGAGAGGGGTGTCCCTTAGGTAATATGAGCACAAACCATTTAAGGCTCTAAAGGGCAAAACCAACACCTTGAATTCCACCCACTGGCAGCCAGTGCAGCTCACAGAGCACTGGAGTTATTACTCCCTGTGCAAAACTCCCCATAATATTCTGAATTAACCACAGCTTCTAAGTGGTCTCACAGTATAGCTCCAAGTGATCTAACCCTGAGATGATAGAGACACAGAGAGACTTAAGCTCCACATCCCAAAGGAATGGTCACACTCACCTTACCCAGCACAGACGGGGAAACTCACAGGCTCAGGGGACTGGGAATGAGATATGGAGTCTCCCACCTCCAGGGCACCCAGCCAGATAGTAACCAATACACATCATTGCACTCTGAGGACTGGTTCCATGACCCACGTTGAATCAGCTGGGGGTCTTGTTCTCGTGAGAAGGGCATCCACATCATAAAATATACCACCACATCTGGAACTAACTGGCTTCTTGTTGACAATCTTAGTCAAAGACCAAATGGGTCACTGAGGCTGAACTCTTCTCTCACTCCTCTGATTTCCACCAGGGGAGAACTGAGGTCTGTTGGTAAGGGGAAGTTTGCCAGTAGCTGCCCTTTTTCTGGGGCTAAATAGAGGCCTTCAGTCTCCAGGCCTGTCGAGCCAGCTCCTTTCATCAATACTGAGAAACATCAAAGGAAAGGATGCTTATTTCAGCCTTACCTGAGGGCATGGAGCAGCTTGCAGAAGAAGACAGCATGGGCACATGCATTCACCATCAGCCCCTTGCAGCGGCTTCTCAAACACAGCAAGGGCTGCTCACTTTCTTCCACCGCATGCTCAGACTGAAAGGACTTCAAATTCACCATGATATCTGACATCGTGGCCCCGCATGAGAACCTTCAGCAATGAGCAGCAGTTAGAAGAGTGGCCCAGCATCCATCAGTTTGACATTGCAGCCAATCCCCAGCTCCTCCCACAGAGCAGGGGTAGCCAATATACACCTAGTTCTACTTCAAAAACATGACACACATTACCAGTAGTAAGGAGGAGCAGAAAGATCCCAGCATGGGAAGCAGCAGAGCCTCTGCGATCAAGCATTGCATGCTGGGATTATTGTTTCCATGGAGCTGCAATCTAATTCATTCTATGAAGTATAGCTGTGGCTGGCAACAACTGGCAAGCTGCTGACACAGCACTTGGAAGGGCGCTGTTTGGGCTGCTCTGCTCCTGAGCTACAGGTAATATGAAAACTAGAGCCAAGGTGAGTGACTCCAGTTTCCAAGTATTACGTTTTTCATTCATCACCAGCCTGAGTTTTGTCAGCATTGTGTGCCCCACCTTCCCTCCCAAGCCTCTCAGGGAATGTGCAGCTCTCTTCCTTCCTTCTGTATCCCTCCCCTCAGCATGAGCAGCTGAACAGCTTTTAGGTCTCAGAACAGAGCCTGGTATTTTTGTTGCCTGGGGTCAGAGCCTCACCCGAGCCACCCGGGGTTTCCACAGGAATAGCATTCAGTCTCACTGCAGAACACATCACAATGCAAACACAGGACACTGTAAGCTTGGGCCCTCTGGTGGTTCCCAATTTTAGACAAAGTTCTGAGCACCCTTGACTCCAAGTGAAATGAAAGTGCTCAGCATCTTCCAGGCTCGGACCCATATCAGGAAGTCACCATTTCAGTTCATTTGACAACAATGGGGCTTCTTTAACATTGGGTAAACAGCTTCTTCAAGCCAGGCCACAGCCAGGCATGTTTCAATGAAGCAGATAGCTTATTACACCAGTTGGCCTAACCCAAGGCTGCCCCATTCTTCTAATCAAGAAGGACTGGAGTCAGTCATTGCTTGAGTGGCCAGTATGGGGCGGGGGGGCTGCTGAGCAACATAAGGCACTTCCTCCTCTCTTCCCGGGGCTGGGAACTGTTAACTGTGCCCACCTGAAACTGATCCCGAAAACGGCCCTGACTACACAAAGATAATATAGCAGGGAAGGGGCGTTCCTAAGGCTTTCTCCAGCACTTCTTATTCAGGCAAAACACCCACTGAGTAGGGGAGGCTGATTATGACCAAAGATGCCCTCCATCCGCAGCGGGCCTGTAGCACCAAGCCAGACCCCAAGACTCCAGTTATAAGCAAACTGCTTTGTTTATAACATCACAAAAAGACCGAGCCTGATCCTGCAGCCGTTACTCCCCCGAGTAGCTCTATTGACTCCAGTGGCGTGAGTAAGGAACACTCAGGTGGATAAAGGTGGCCTACCTGAAGATCTAACACACACAACCCCCCTGCAGTTTCTACTGTCTGAATTTTGTACCTAGTCCTGCCCCAGCTGAAGTGCTGATGACAAAACCCCCTTCGTCAAGCAGGATACAGTGCTCCTTGCTTGAGCAAAAAACCTCAGCAGCCTCCTGGATCTCCCACCTGCTGGACTCCTTTTCCCCAAGCTTCAGGTTCTCAACAGCAGGCCACCTCCTATTCTGGAATCCAGGCAACTCAGTCCAAACAAGGGAAGTTGTCATGGCAATTGCTTAGTTACCAAATGTCCTGGTCAGAACCTTGCTGTTTGCCTAGGAGGCACCAGAGCCCAGACCCTTAAAGGGCCAGGACCACATCTCTCATCCCACAGCGAATGGGAGAAAATAATAGAGTCATGGGTATTTTTCGTAAAAGTCACAGACAGGTCATGGGCTTCCATGAATTTTTGTTTATTGCCCGTGACCTGTCTGTGACTTACTAAAAATAATGGGGTCGGGGGGGGGGGGGGCTGACTGAAACCCACGTGGGGGAAAGAGAGCCCAAGCCCCACTGCAGGAGGGGAGCAGGGTGCAGCACTCACCATCCACGGTGGCACCTCCTTGCCGCTCTCGATGCCCCTCGCTGCGGCAGCTCCTCACAGCTCCAGGTGCCCCCTGCCACCCTGGAGCTGAAGTGAAAAATGTCAAGGAGGTTTCTGAAAGTCACTGAATCCATGACTTCAGTGACCTCCGTGACAAACTTATTCATAGTCATAAGCTCCTCTGGAGGCAGGAAGTTCACTCCCACCACATCAAATTAACGTGAGTAGCCTGACAGTTCTGGGTGCAGCTATGCAACCCTGACACCTAGCGGTTAGGTTAGCATTGGCCATTCATGGTATGCGTACACTGCAATAAAACACCCCCAGGGTGGCCCATGGCAGCTGACTCAGGCTCACAAGGCTCGGGCTGTAGGGCTATAAAATTGCACTGTAGACGTTTGGGCTCCACCTGGAGCCTGGACTCTGGGACCCTCTCCCTCGTGGGTTCCCAGAGCCCAGGCTCCAGCCCAAGCCCAATTTACTCAGCAATTTTATAGCCCTACAGCCCAAACGCCCCCCCTCCATTCTGCCCTCCGCCCCCCAGCCTGAGTCAGCTGACACAGGCCAGCCACAGGTGTCTTATTACAGTGCAGATATACCCTCAGGCACTAAGCTCCTGTGAAAATTGATGCTAGGCAGGTGCTGGCAACCTTTTTGCACTGGTTTCCTGTGTTCTTCCCAGAGCAAAGTGGAGGGGTAAATTTGGTACAGTAATTCTTTGGGGGGGGGGGGGGGGGGAAGCTCTGTCTTAACATTTCTATGGTACTTTTAATTCCAAAAAGGCCAAAAGCATTTTACAAATTTCAAGTGAACTCTACGCAAGGATCACTTCATCCAGGGGATGGAGTGCAGCAGTTGTTTAAACAGCTACACAACAATATTACACAACCATTTAGGACAGGAAACAAAAAATGATCCTGCTCCCTACTGAAACTACCACATAGGGGAGGGGGAATTTAGGGAGAAAGAACAGAATGACCCCGGCTGGAATTTAATGAGGACACCACCCTACTGGTTTTGCAGAGTGCCATGAGATTTGTAATGACCTTACATCTCATCAAAAACCCATCACCTCCTAGCACCACTCTGAGGAAAAAGCACCCTAATCAATTACCAGCACCACTTCCTGCAGCTGGTAGGTCTCCCACCCCTATATGACCAGACTCAACTCTGCTTTGCTTGCAAGATCTGCCAGGATCAGAGCCCTGCCATCCCATGGTCAGACTTACTGTGCATGGCCCAACTGTGTGCTAAAGCCACCTGGCCCGCGCAGCAGGGTCCGGGTTCCTGGTTGTCTGGCATGGCGGGGTCCTGGCTGCCCGGCCACCCAGCCCTGCAGGGTCGGGTTCTGGGGTCAGGATTCCTGGGTTGGGGCCAGGGCCGGCTCCAGGCACCAGCGCAGCAACTTGGAGCTTGAAGCGGCCCTTGTAAGGGGGCGGCACGTCCGGGTCTTCAGCAGCGGGTCCCTCAGTCCCTCTCGGAGGGAAGGACCAGCCACAGAATTGCCGCCGAAGAATGAAGCGGCATAGTAGAGCAGCTGCCAAAGTGCCGCCGATCGTGACTTTTTTTTTTTCTTCGCCACTTGGGGCGGCAAAAAAGCTGGAGCCGGCCCTGGTTGGGGCTGCCTGCCTGCCTGGCCCTGCAGGGTCAGGGGTCTGCGGCTGCCTGCCAGCCCCGCACCCTGTTCCTGGTCCCACTCTGTGGATGGGTCTTTGGGCGGGAGGCACTGGGCACAGAAATCTGGGGAGGTTCGAGGTCGGGGCATGCTGTGGATCTCAACCTGCAGCCCAGGTAACACACTGTGGGCCACATATGCAGCCCACAATGATGAACAGGTTGAGAACCACTGAGATAGGGTCAGCCTGAGCCTGTCCCTTTTAACGGCCCATCCTGGCTCAGTCAGCTAGGCAACATTCATACCTATGTCTCTTAGGGTATGTCTACACTTACAATGCTACCCCCCGGCACACTATAGACACTATCTATGCCAACAGGAGGCTTTCTGGTATCAGCATAGGTAACCCACCTCCCTGAGAGGCGGCAGCTAGGCCCTGCTCTACACTACCTAATTCCTAGGGTAGACATAGCTACCGCCTCTCGGGGTGGGGGTGGAGTACCCATGCTGACGGGAAAAGCTGTCCCATCGGCATAGGTAGCATCTTCACAAAGTGGTACAGGGCGCAGCGCTATCAATGTAGACAAGCCCTAGGTCGACGAAGAATTCTTCCATCAATCTAGTGCTGTCTATGCTGGGGGTTAGGTTGGTACGGGTACGTCTCTCAGGGGTGTGGCTTTTTCACTCCCCTGACCAACGTAGCTACAGCAATGTCAGTTCCTAGTGTAGACCAACCCTTTGCCTGCTCTGAGAGCAAACAGTCCTTTTCCACCCACTAGGTAACAATGCAGCATATAGAGGAAACTGAGACATACATAGTGGTCAGAAAAATATTCCCCAAAATTCCCACTTCATCATACACTTAAGATCAGGGAGGCGCCCTGGAGCTGGACTCTGCCCTGAGACTGGCATGTGGCCGCTGTTGGCTCCAACAGATAAATAACCACCATTTTTGTGTGGCATTCGCAAGGCTGTGTGCTCCCCAGCAACACTCTCTGTTAGACACGCCGCTGCTGAGAACATCAAGGATGTGAGACTACAAGGTTGCCACCCTGGATAAACTTATCCTTTAAGGCAAAATTGCCCCACCAGTCACGTTTCTTGTGGCCCTGGAATACTCTGAGGTGCATCTCATGTGCACACTTCTCAAAAGACGGGGCAACCCCTCATGATCAGGACACAGGTTGACAGTAAACCACTAGGGAAGGAAGTAAATAGGAGCCACAAGGAGAGGCAGACACGCAGTTTTATTTAAGGAACAGAAAGCGAGGTCTGACACAATAAAGCTGGCAGGGAACCCCAGGGGAGAGTCACATTTCTACGGGGTGTAACAAAAACTTTCCCAATGTAAAGGCCAGGGAGAAGAGATTGTTCCAAGGGGCTCCGTGGGGCCAGCATCTTCAGCACTTGCTGGGAGGGAATTTCGACTCATTCTCTAACCAACCCAATGAGGGAGATGATGAGCTCCAGGCAGAACTCCCAGCTTCCCTTTGGGTGAAGGGGCAGGTCTTGAGATGGAGGGCTTTGTAGTGGGGATATGCAATCTGCAGAAGTTTAGCTGAAAGCTTCCTTTCTGAATCAGAGAAACAGGAAGGTTGGGGTTTTAAGGGGCAAGAAGTCTTTCCCTACCCATCTCGCTCATAGAGGCAGGGAGAACACAGCCCAGTCTGCGGTTCCTGCATCTTCACTTCTGACACGGCCATCATTGCCCCAGTCTTAGCAGCTGGTATGGCAAGGGAACGGGTCACCTCTAACCTTAGGAGAGATCTTTTCTGGGTAATTGTCTTGTTCCTCTCACCTGAACGAGTCCTGATCCTGCACAAATTTGAAGTAGCTGCTGCTTTGCCTGACTTTACTTCCCTCTGTACACTGAAGCCATGCCCACCTCATGGCCTAGCCCATTACAGAGCATTGACTCCAGTTGGTCAGTGTCTTGTCCCACTAGCCAGATAGCTGGGTTTGCCTTATGTCAGCCTGGATGCCGCTCTGTCCCAGGAGCCACTGGCACTGACTGGCAATATCAGACAAACCACCAAGACTGGAAACGGAACTTGCTCTATTGGCACGGAGGCTGGCTCCATAGTTTCCTCTCTCATTGGCATGGCAATGGCAAATTGGGCTGGTTCTGAGGTGGGTAGACACCTCAATTCTTCCATCGGATTTGCTGAAAGAGAAGCACAACAGGACATGGCTCGTATCAGTGCTGATCGGAGCTCACCCCCGGGCATATTCCTGAGGGATCTATCTGCCTCACTGGAAGGGAGAACCCTGTCAGGGAATTCAGCCCACACTCGGGTGATGCTGCAGCAAATGACAAGGTGGGCAGGTTTATAAACTGATGTGCCTGGAAAGCTTTGAGGTTTAAGTCAATGAAAACAGTCGGACGTTCCCCTGCAGCATGAGGAATCCAAATCCAGCAGCCCTGGGCTAGCGGCTGGGATCAGCAACAAAAACCAACTAAAGTCAGAAAGCGCAAACTGACCAGGCTACAGAATAGCAGCCGTGTTAGTCCGCAAAAAGAACAGGAGTACTTGTGAGTCAAATGTAGGGAGCAGACAAGCAGCAATAAAGGCAAGTGCTAAAGATCATCACCACAATATACGGAACCTCACAATCCCCTAGGAGGTGGGTCAGGATTACTTGCATGATACAGATGGAGAAGCCAAGGCATGAAGGAAAGGCACAAGGCCATGCAGCAAGCCAGGATTCCGAGTCAGACATTCCTGACTTGCAGTCTCCTGTCAGACTATGACTCACTATAAGCTTGTAATACAATTGGGCCTAATAGGAGAAGTCAAACAGAACACCAAACCCAGAGGTAAAAAACCCTTTGATCCCAAGAGGCCCAGAGCAGTCACCTAGCAGGTTGTGTCCAGAATGGACCACCAAAAAGGAGCCAAGTACCACTTGTTATTGCTCGTCACATGCTAAGACTGTAAGCTCTCTGGGGCAGGGACTATCTTTCACACCTGTGACACTAGTCCTAGCACAATGCTTTGAGCCTCTTTTCGCTATCGCAAACAGAAATCAACTCTTCGGTGTGGGGACTCAGCACTGAGCAGTTGCTATTTCTCCCTTTCCCAGCACCAGCTCTTCTCCTCCAGAGACTCTGCATAGATCCCCCTTTCCTGTGTCTAACTGGAACCTCCACCTGGACTAGCATCCTCCCAGAGGGAGGATGTGGGGACACAGGGCAGCAACCCCAGTGCCACACACCAAACAAACCCACTCCTGTCTCTGACTAGTGTCTACAGAAGAGAGCACCACAGGGCTAGCTCTGGGTGTATGTGGGCGAGCAGTCACTCTTTACCAAGTTGCTGAGGATGCTGTCTATCTTGTCCTCTTCTGCAGAGCCCCGCTCCACCTTACACCTGTATGCCATCAGCTGGTGTCGATCCTTCAGGTCTCTGTATGTCTAGTTAAACAGCAAAACCAGAGCTAAGGGAAGCAACCTCCTTTATTGGGCAGCATCCCTCTGTTCAGTTGAGGAATAACCCTCCAATCCCCCCAAAACCTTGGCCACATGCTGATTTCCCCAAAGACTCATCGCTGTGCAGCAGGATCCATCACAGCCCTGGGGGAAAAATCACAAACCTTATGGGATGTCCCAATGGAAGATTGGGCCTTCACCTCAAACCTTTGGGAAAGGCCCCCTCCAGGAAGGAGAGGCTCAAGTTGTTACTGCACCGACTTTTCACTCCTGATGACGGAAGCTCACGTCCTGCTGTAGAGCAAATTCCAAGCCTCAAGCCACTCCCAAACTGACAACCATCTCTGAATTGTGTCATTCAGCACAACTGCATCTCTACAGCAGAGGAGCTCAGGTGGGAATAGCAGGGGGTGCTGCAGGCTGGGATTGTGAGGCCCCAGCAGAGCTGCTGGAGGTCGGGGGGTAGAGGGAGTGTGAGTAAGGCTCACTTGGCTTTAGCTGGTTCTGGAAGCACCAGCTGACACTAAAATACAGGGAAAGTAAACTCAGAGGTAAATGAGATGGGCACATGACAACAAGACAAGGGAGTTGTGGGAGAGCCTGCCCCCAGCCAGGTGTGTCGGGGGGGGGGGGAAAGGGAGGAGAGGGAGGATGTAGACCTCCCCCCTTGTACAGCAAGGACTCACATCAATAACAACGTCATGGCACTTATATTTCATGGCAAGGTTCAACCGTGTCTCAACGTCTTCCACCAGGCGCACGTACTCCTGCAGCACCTGGATGAGAAGGCAGGAGGCATCAGCAGAGCTCACTTCCCCATAGTCACCCCTACTTCCCCAAAACACCCCTGCTCCAGCCAACTAGTCTCTTACAGAAGGTCACCACACAGGAGGCTCCAGGGGTAGTGAACCCAGCCCCTCCTCAAGGGCCCTGCCAACCCAGGGGGCAATTCCTACACTACCCCAACTCAAGGGGATCAGTTGAACCCTTGCCCAAATGAAGCATCTAGAAACCGAATGTAGGGAACAATCTATTTGATGGCCTGGATCATGTAGGGGGCTTTGCCATCCATGATCTGATCCCATAGACACCTCAGAGCCTGCTGCTGTCCATCTCCCTTAGCTGCATCTACCTCCCTCGGGTTCTCACCCCTACGATGTTCCTTCCAGGCACATGTACATAACATCTATATCCCTATGGGACTCTGTTGGCACAAAGAGGAACTTCACATGGGGAAGTCCTTCACCATCCCCAGCTATGGAAGCCAGGCAACAACCACATGGGGTCAATGCCCCTCTCTGGGCTGTAAGCAAATTCACGTGTGGGACCAGGAAGAAATAAACAGTCCCTCCCCAGGTGCACTATAAGGTATAGGTAACAGCCACTGCTGGCGGCATGTTAGCAAGCTAGGTGACCTAGTGATCTGAGTCAGTGCAACAGGATTGCAGACCGAATGGCCCAAAGGTCTGATCCAGTGTGGCAGGACACCAGACTGGATGGTGTGTTCTGACAAGGCACTTCCTTTGCTCACCTGCACGGGGGCGCTGTTCCGCTGCAAGATCTCCACCACACGATGGAAGCCAATGGGAGCTCTCTTCTTGGTGTAACCCAGCCAATTCTGAAACCACAGCCCAAACTCATAGCACTCATCTTTTCAAAAGGGACGTCCAATGCAAGATTCCCAGAGGGTGGGGAATTGGGGGACAGGGCTGTTAGTAGATTTGGGTGTGGGGCAGAGGAGCCGCTGGATTGCTCCTCCTCCTCCCTACCCTCTCCATAGCCTCCAGAGGGCAGTGGTAATCTGCCTCTGGCTGAGGATGCTGCTCTTTCCTGCCAGACCCTAGTTCCACGGTCAGCAGCGTCCCATGTCTGGAGGCTGGGTTTACAACGCATGTGAATCCCATGCAGCTGAGCCTCAAAGGCAGCCTCCTTCTCTGGCTGAGCTGGTAGAAGCTGTACTAAGTCCATTGCAGCTTCTTGAGACAGGGAAACCTGCTCTCTGAGCAACTCAGTCTGGACCCCACAGCATGGATGGGCCAGGCCCAGAGCTAACAAGCAATGGCTCTCCAGATAAACCCCAGAGCAGGCCAGACAAGTCACAGTGCTGGAGCAGGGCCTGCAGGATACTTCAGGCCCAGAGCAGCTCAGGAGACAGACAGCTCACCGTCCTCTAACCAGATGGAAACAGACAGACGTAGCCAGGAAACAGCAAGTGTTTGGACCCACCCCCCAGAAAGGTTTTGCCACTCACCTTGGTGGTGAACAAGGCATCCACATCATGCCAAGCTCGCAGCTTGGCACGGGCAGCCAGGGCTGTCAGCACATACTGTTTGTCTGGAATCTGCAAGGCACAGACACTGAATGCTGAGGGTGAGAGCACAGACTGGGGTGAGAGAGCAGGCAGCACCATCCACTCAGCAGGCACCAAGCCAGCTGCTGGGAGGGGAGGGATGGTGCAATCCAAGCCTGAGCCCGGTAGCACAGTAGTACATGCAGGGTCACACAAAGGATCTGCAACTGCTACTGAGGCAGGGTTACATGGCTCAGGCCACCAGCATGGCCCACCCCATTCCACACTGACTCCAGCGAGAGCACCATGGTCCTGGAACACATGGAGGGGGCTCCCAACAGGGCTGGTGCAACAGGGTGAGGCTGGCAATGGACTGGCAGTGAGGAGGGCCCATTTTCCCCTTCCAAGCCATGAGAAGTAAGACAGGGCCACCCTTAGGCCGAGCACCAAAGCCAGCTAAGGGTCAGGGGAGCTCACCCCAGTTAAGGGAAAGGCCTCACAGAGCTTGGGGTTCAAATCCAGGGGTAAGGGTTCCTGTAACCTGGGATCCCAGCAGCACCTCACACCCCAAGTTCCCCACAGAACTTCCAGCAGGCTCTTGAAACCAAGCTTCCTCCCTTGTCCCCCAGGAGGGTCTGGCTTCCAGCCCAGCCCAAAGCAAAGGTCTCCACAGAGCTTGCCCCTTATCTAACAGCTGGATCTAATCCCACTCCCCTTCTATCTAGAGAGAAACCCTTTCTCTGCTGAGCCAGCAATCCCTACTTCTGACAGGACTCAGCCTCTCAATTTCCTTCTTCCCAGGCACCCCAGCTCTGTTGCCTGCATTTTTATTGATGCTGTCACAGAAACCCACCTCCCACCAAGAATGAGACACCAGTCAGATTTCACTCCCTACCTTAAAGGTTTTCTTCAGGTTGATCGGGCTGCTGAATGTCCCCTGAAGAGAGAGCGAGGGTAATGCTCAGCCTTTTCAGATCATGGGCCCCCTGCCCCTTATGGTAGGTCTACACTGCAGACGGGAACGAGTCTCCCAGCCCAGGCAGGCAGACTCACGCTAGTAAGGCTCAAGCTAGTGCACTAAAAACAGCAACATGGATGTTCCAGCTCAGGCGTTGAAGCCTAGGGGGTCAAGTGGGCTTCGGAGCCCGAACTTCCACCCAAGCCAGAACGTCCACACTGCTATTTTTAGTGGACTAGTTTGAGCCCAACTAGAGTGAGTCTGTCTACCTAGGTTAGGAGACTCGCTCCCAGCTGCAATATAGACCACCCTGACAGACCCGGAACTCCTGCTTGCCAGGGCTCTATACATTACCAAGGCTGCTAATGCTAGCTTGGGAAATGGAGGTTCCAAAGGAAGCGACTCTCCCATCTCCTCCTCTGCTATCTGGGGCTGGGTCTCCCATGCCTCTAGTCTAGAGCGCTCACACACACACATACTTCAAAGACCAATGTCCCACATTTGGGCCTGAAAAGGTTAGAAGCCAAGTTAATCCCTTGGACGCTGGATCCAGTAGCTGCCTCTGAAACAGTGCAAGGTAGCTGCTTTTTCTGAGGTGCCAATTCTTCTGTGATGGCTGCCGTACCAGGCAAAATGCCCCTCTCTAATGCTGTCCCCACACTTCTTATGGCTCCCTGAAGTGCCAGAATTCCATAAAGTGTGGGGACCATTCTGGAAGGTTAGGGGAACTCTCTCTGGAGATTGGGGGGGAGGGGCGCGGGGTGTGTGTGTCATCCTCTTTCTTTACCAGTGTGCCAACTTTATGAGCCGAGCAGTGTGGCCGAGTGGCACTGGACTGGGACTCAAGAGATATGAGTTCTAGTCCTGGCTGCCCACTGATCTGCTGGGGGACATTGAATGAGTCACTGCACCTCTCCATGCCTCATTTTTCCATCTGTAAAACAGGGGTAGTGACACTAAACTCCCTTGTAAAGTGTTTTAAGATCTACTGATGGGAAGTGCGAGGTAAGAGCTGGGCATTATCATTATTTAGTGACCCATACCAAGGGTTTTGGCACTGAATTCCAGCCCCCTGCTTATCCCGCTGTTGCACCCACCTCGGCCTCTGTGTAGTGGTAGAAGCAGGAGTAGAATAGCGTGGTCACCAGTGGCATGTTAAGGATAGAGGCCTTTCGTGGGTATTTCCGAAATATCTCAGACTGCCCAGCGGCCTCCAGATGCCGGTCGTTTGCCTAGAGAAGTAGGATGAGAGACACTGCATGGAAACCAGGCCAGCCACAGTTTGCTCACCCACTTCTCAGAGGATGAGGGTTGTCTGGCCCAGTTGCCATGGGACAGGCCTGATTTCAACAGGACCATCTGTGACATTGATAGACCAGGTGCCAGCTCTTACCAAGGCTGTAGGTGTCAGCTGAGCACTGACAAATTCATAGATGGAAACCAGACCAGCTCACCTGTATGTTAGCATTGCTCAAGATAGGTGTTAGAGTTGTAAGGATGTGCTTAGTATTTAGACTCTATAAAATCCTTGTAAGTTGCTGCATGCATTAATCTTATTCATAATGTCTGAACCCCGTGCTATAAGGTAATATGCAAGTTTTGCTTTATAACTGTAAAAATGTCTGCTCTGAACTTGTGAACTCAGGCAGGAGGACTGTTTCCCCCACCCATCAAGAAGGACTATCAAAACTAAGTGGGCCACTGCGAAACATCACAATACAAAGACTGGTTGATGGTGCTCTTACACCCATAAGTTGCTACATGCTAGAAAGCTCATCCCATCAGCTTGAATTCTGGAAGGAGGAAATAAACGACAGCTGACATGAAAAATTCTTCATACTCTCTGCTGTTTGGACTCTCACAGGGCTGGAGTTAGGAAAAAGCAGAGATCCCCAGGGTCAACCTGAGTTAGCCCTAGAAGACATTCACTGTGCTGACAGATTACTATCTCTCTGTCACCTTTTGGAACCACAGACTAACTCATTTGTGTATATATGCTGCCTGCTTTAACCTGTAAATAACTCACTTCTTTTTCCTAGTTAATAAATCCTTAGTTAGTTTATTGTAGGATTGGCTACAAGCGTTGTCTTTGGTGTGAGATCTGGCATCAGTGACTGGTCTCTTGGGACTGGGAGCAACCTGAATCTTTTGTGATCTTTGATGTAAGGAACCATTTATCATTTCATCCAGCTTCTCTGGGTGGCAAGATAGACTGGAGTGTCCAAGGAGACTGTCTAACTCCATGCAAGACTATTACAGTGCTGCAGGAGTTTGCATTTATTGCTGGGTGAGTGAAATCTAGTTATACAAGTTTGGGGTGTCTGTCCTGAGGCTGGGATTCATGGTCGTGAGCCACTCCGGACAGTGTGACACCATCTTAATATGCTGCACAGCTCTGAAGCAAATGCCCTGCATGTACCATCAGCACATGATGATATCTGACTCTCAGTGGGACAGCTTGGTGTAGTTGTCTACCAGCAAAGCTTGGATATGGAGTCATATTAGATCCAGGAGGTCGCAAGCCAGTCAGCTACAGCATCTAGAAACTTCTTATTCCTCCCAGAAGGGGAACCTTGGCATTAGAACAGGCCGGTCCGAGCCAGAGGCAGATGGAGAGCTCTGTGACACCTCTATGGCCAAAGGAGAGAGGCCCTTACCTCAATGATGATCTGTCTCTCCAGGAGCGTATAATGGTCTTGAACATGAACGGCATCTTCAGATGAAAATGGCAGCCTGGCCAGCAGCAAAGAGATGAGGACAGTCATCATCAGCATCTCTTCCCAGTACACAAGGCCTGGAGGGGCTCTCTCTTCCCTACTTTACCTTACCTAAGTGTGCCCGGGGGATGCACTCCCCATGTTCTTGCTCCCTATATTTATGGTGAGTCAGAATGGCATCCCTCTTTGGCCTCACCCACCCAAATGCTCTGGGAGTGGCAGTGAGTTCTCAAGCTCTCACCTTCCCAGATCACTGCCTGCTCTCTCACATGGAGGCCATCTACGAAGAGAGCCCAATCAGAGGGGGAAATCTTCTGGATTTCAAGGAGCGGTAGGTGGGAGAAGGGAGCTCAGAACAATGCTAGTGATACCCACCAGAGACTAACATTTCACCTTGGCACCCCCGGTCGCATCCCCACCCACGGGGTCAATGATCAGAAACTCCCCAAGGTGTCTTTGCCCTCCAATCAGCAGAAAATATTTCGGGGTACTGATCACCACAGGCTGTTCATAATCACCCTGTGTTGTTCCTCAAACCCCCGCTCAGTGATGAAAGAGAGACCACTGTCCCTTTAATCCTGTGCATCACAACACTCTACTGCAGAGGTAGTCAATAGGCGGACCAAGGGCCAAATCCAAACCACCAGACACTTTTGAACGGACCCAAAAAAATTTATTTACTTTTTTTTAAATTATTATTTTCTCTGGAGTCTGGACTTTGACTATACCTTGACCAAGAAATTTGGACCTTGACAAAAAGTAGACTACCCTTGCTCTACTGGTTCCAGCAGGCTGCACTTCTTATTCCACTCTCCAGGAGGTGCTCACACCCCACCAGTCCCCCACCTTCCCTGCTCACCTGATGCAGCCTTTAAGAAATTCTCTTCGTTTCTCTGCATCCTGGATGCTCAAGTGCTCCCGGTACTGGGACAGCTGGAGGGGGCAGAAAGAAAACAGGAGCTGTTCAAAAGGGAATGGGCTCAGGAGATCTGGAATGTCACCTTCCAACAAAACATGAACTTAAGCCCTGCCCACTGACCACACCTGCCTAATGGCTACCCACTCCCAGTCCCCAGGCTCTTGTCACAACAGCATCCTTTGTTGGGAGGAGGAGGGGGATGTGCGAGGGGTCTGATCGCAGCATCTCTGAGAAGTCTCTCTCACCTCGTAAAAGCTACACAAGAGAAGGACCTGCCACGATTGGGAATACTCACAGCAACCTCCTCGGTCCTGTCCAGGAATCTGCAAAGGGAAACAAAGCATTACCCCTGCTCAGTACCCTCCACTCTGGGTCCAACCACAGGCAGTGTGTTCAGCCCAGCCATGATGCCGGGTGGGGAGCCTCACCTGAGCAGGTCCAGGAGTAGCTTCTGCTCCCCTGTCTCTTTGAGGAAATGGATTAGATGGCGCAAGGCCACCTGTCGCACCTCCAGCTCTTGGAACAGGATCTCTAGGTGGGGAGAAACAGGCAGCCTGTCAGCACTGAGGAGCCATGAGAAGGTGTGAGCTGGCCAGCCTGGGCTGTTCCAGCATGGATGGCGCTGCTAGCTTCTGGAAGAAAACTAAAGGATTCTGCAAACCCCCCTCTCCAGAGCACAGTCCAACCTCTAGTGACCAGGGGTTAGGAAAGGAACCCAATTCCACCTGTTTAATGGCCAAGTACTCTGTGGCGCATGGTCATATCCCGTACAGGTTCATTCTCATTCATCCCCACCCCAACCTCTGCCCTCTCCTAACAGGGTCCCAGGTACTCATACAGTCTCTCTGGGTCTTCATAGCCAGCACCAACCCCGTCCCTTTATGCTCACTGGATCCAAGGTGCATCTCTCTCAATGAGACACCTAGCTCGGTTAAGCAGCACCTAAAAAAAGAGTGATCCCAACCCTTCTCTCCCTTTAACTTGCAGCAAGTGAGAGAATCTGGCCACACTCCCCTTAACTGAGAAACACAATCCTGCACAGACGCCACTGGCCCTAGCCACCTCCCAGCCACATTTACCTCTCTTCAGCGTCCTCTTCAAGAATATTAGAATCTGCAAGCAAAAGAGACATCCCTCAGATGAGCAGATGAACCCTCACTAGCATCTGGACAGGCAGAGACACCAGGGGAGGCCCACTCAGCCACAGACATCTCAGCTCCAGCCTTCACGCAAGGCTTGATCAGTGTTTTGTATTGAGCAATGCTGGTGTCTTCCATACTGCGTAGGCCAAACACAGGCCTGGGGGAGCCTGCAAGCTGATTTTGCATGCCTGCAAGCTGACACTCACTGGTTTGAAGAGAAGGTCTGCTGACTTTTCTATAGCTTAGATAAGCAATGCTTCAATTCTACAACTAGGGCATTTCCCTCGCGTCCCTTCTGAAGGACCCCAGAGAGCTTTCCTAGCAGCATACATACAGGGATCACCTCACCCACCTCGCTGTAGTGAGAGGGATCACACTGTCCAGCACGTGGCTCATTTGCTGCACAATGCTCTGGGAGGCCAAGAGCCCGGGACAAACCTCTACCCTTATGAGCAGCTCCCTGGAATATTCAGTGCAGTGTGCAGGGACCTGAGCTTTCCACATCTCACCCCAAAGTCCTGCACACAGGCAGCGACAGGGAACCTGATCCATCGGGCACAGGAGGTGGAGAAGGAGCTGATTGCTGGGATTCCAACCAGAGGTTCCAGAGAAGCATGTGACTTTCAACCAGAGGCTGAGAACATGGAGTTTCCCAGACCTCAGACTTGGCCCTTTTAGGTAACACGCTGATTTTAATTCAAAGCATCAGCAGCGTTCAGGGGCTAAATGGCTGTGCAGATACACAGACCCTTTAAGGGACCATCCTGGCCACCACCCACCCAACCCTATACTGCCAGAGGAGGACTCACAGCTGTAATGACATTCCCATCATGCACCGCAACAGCTTCATCCAGGAGCATCAGCTTCTCCCGCAGGGAACGGAACCTCTCCAGTGAGCAGATCTGGGATATCATTGGAGACAAGGAAACACTGCATCAGCCAGGTGCCTGGAATCCAACCAAGATACAGGGAGCTAACCCTCCCTCTAATTTTGAATGATTCAGCAACATGAATCACTCCTCTTCAGAAAATTTCTCATTCCTTCTGAGCCCAGGGCTGTAAGCAGGTCTCCCACTGAAGGGGTTTTGCAGGATCAGGCCCTGTAACTATACAGCCTGGGGGCAGCATGGTGCATGCATTTCTCCCCAAAACACCCTGCAACCTGCAAACCACCAGAACTCATCAGAGCAGAAGGGCCCTGGTCTCTGGGATCCTCTGAAGCCGATCAGCAGACTGGAACTGCAAGAATCTGCCTCTTACTTGGCTCCCTTTAGCCCAGAGCTGCTCTTCCCCCACCACGCCTTAGCCTTGGAGCTACCATTTCCCTTAGTGGAGATGGAAGCAAAGCCCTTCACCAACTGGTAAGAAGGGATAGTTACAACCTTAGCGAAGGGGCAACAGCAGTTGGGTGGTTACTTCTGCATACACCACCTTTTCCTCCACAGGACTCATCTGCTCATCACCAAGGTCCCAACTCCACTGCACCAAGGACAACTCCCACTTTCCCTGCCCCTACCTCTGATTGCCACCAACTATGAAGAGAGCCAGAGCCCTAAAGTTGACCCCACGGGTGCTTTTTCATAACACCAGTTCCAGAAGGGTCAGCAGCACTGCAGATGACCTCCTGCCATGGGAGAAGCCTCCAGGGTCTAACAGACACAAAGGCTCTAGCAGTGGCCCAATGAGTGCCACCTGTCACCTATTCCTGACTCTAATGGTATCTCAGTGCTTCCCTTCGGCTTTTGCTCCTCCACTTGGCAAAGCCATAGGTGGGCACAGAGCTTTGGACAGTTGTGCCCGCTATGGCTATGCAATCAAGTAATGGAGCTGCCCAGTTCCCCTGCCCAGTCCCACAATACAGAGGTGCAAACAGGAGGCTGCCTGAGAGCACCAATATGACACTCTATACCTTGGGGGAGCACCCTGTAACCCCCATATTCCTCATTTATATATAATTGTGATATTGCATATAAAGCATGCCATGTGAGGTATCAGGGGAAAGGTTATGATCTGCCAAAAGCAGTTGTTCTAGCTAAATATGTATACCTCGGGGGAACACCCTGTAACCCCATAACCCCTCGCCCTGTAGCCCCCATATCTAAATATGTATACCTCGGGGGAGTGCCCTGTAACCCCCATATTCCTCATTTATATATAATTGTGATATTGCATATAGTGAAGACACGATAAATCGGCCACCGAGCATTCTCCCGTCGACTCCGGTACTCCACCAGAGCGAGAAGCGTACACGGAGTCAACAGGGGAGCGTCAGCAGTCGACTTACCGCAGTGAAGACACCACAGTAAGTAGCTCTAAGTACGTCGACTTCAGCTACGCTATTTTCGTAGCTGAAGTTGCATAACTTAGACGGATTGGCTCGCCGCTCGCCCCCCACCAGTGTAGACCAGGCCTCAGTAATGCCCACCAGACATGCCTCCAAGCACATGGACAAAGGGTATAAAACAGAACACAGTGGCCTCAGGCTTGGCCTTTTCTCCTTTCCCCACCTATTCTGCAAGCAACAAGGACACTCAGAAGACTGAAGACTCCAATAGAGGAGACTGGCCCAGGTTTCAAGGGTGAAACCTGTGTACTATGAACTGCAATATACAGTGATCTGAGAAAAACTGCTTAGTCTAGACGTTGCCCAGTCTAATAGGATTGAGAGTTTAGATAGTGTGCTTGTATTTTATTTTGGTAACTAACTCTGACTTTTTGCCTATCACTTAAAAATCTATCTTTTGTAGTCAATAAACTTGCTTTACTCTTTATCTTTACCAGTGAGTTTGCCTGAAGCATTTGGTCAATCTGCTCAGGTTTACAAAGGCTGGTGTATATCCACTTTCCATTGATGAAGTGGTGAACCAATTAATAAACTTGCACTGCTCGTCTTGAGCAGTGCAAGACGGTATATTCCTGACGTACAAGGCTGGGAGCTTGGGGCTACTGGGCTGGTGCCTGTCTCTGTGTGATTCATGACTGGCTCTGGGAACATTCATACAATCTAGCTGGGTGTAGGGTTGCACATGCGGTTGTGCTGAGTGATGACAGTGCCTGGAGGGGTTTTCTGCTTGTCACTAGCAAAGCAGCGACAGCCCAGGCTGGAGAGTTAAGGGGGCACAGCGGTCCCACGGTCCCAGGCTGCACCTCGGGGATTCCGTCACAACCAAGGCTCCCCTCTTGCAAGCAGATGGAAAAGGAATGTCTTTACCTTGCCCCTCTGCATTCGTCTGACTGTATCCTTGGGACTCCAGTCGCTGGTGTAATCCTGCAACAGAAGACATAAGCAGCTTATCTTCCCAAGATGCTGAGGGGCCAAGCTATCCCAGTGTTTGCTGTGCAGCTCCTCCCACCTCCCACTCAAAGCTGGGACTGATGAAATAACTTGTCACACAGTTCACAGCAGCTAGAAGGGTTTCCCAGTAGGCTTTGCAATAAACTAGAGCAGTAGAGTTCTGATGTGACTGAATTGGCCTGAGTAAGGAGGTTCCAGAGTCTTGTCACTTTCCTAGAACCTTTATGGGGGAGGAGGCAGGTTGATCTGTTTACTGGCTGGTACCACTGGTGCCAGCGCAAGCCAAGAGACTCTGAAGTTCAGTGCCCAGAATGCCACCAGGCTACCATTTATGTGCAAACTTTTACTGCTGGTGAAAGGGGCCAATCACACCTGCAGAGACAGAGGTCTCTTGTTTATCCACACGATAGCTACAGCCCAGGTACTGTGCAGGAGAGCTTGCTCTCACACTACCCTAACATGCCTGACCCCTAACCTCATTGAGTTCCCTCAAAAGCCCACAGCAGGGTTCAGTCTCTATGGCCCATTCAGTCCTTAGCTCCTCTGCTGAAACTACCTAAGAGGGTGACAGCTGGAGTGGTTTTGGGGATAGGACACATTCCCACAGAGCCTCAGGTGGCAATGACTTTTGCTCAGGCCCTACCTACGGCAGACTGGATACAGCCAGAGGCCAAAAGGAGAACAGGGTGTCTATTTATTGCCTTGGACAAAGACTATCACTGCATCCACATGGGAGGTGCATCTTAGAATGGACTCCCACCCCAGGGACCTTAAACCCCAAGTATTGGGGGGAACAGTTTGCCCCCATAAAGACAACCGATTTGAGAGACCGTGAATTGGTAGGGTAAGGATTCAGTTACATCTTCCCATTCCCATTCCACCCTCAGACAGGCTTCTTCAGGTGAGCCTTCCACGGCACCACAGGGCACCCAAAGCCAACAGCCTCAGGTTAGTGCCTGGGGACAGGCAAAGGAAAGGGACTCAAATGAGGAGGTAAAAGGGACCAGGCTAGTGTCACTGCCCCATCCTGAGTGAGAGGCAGTGACTGAACAATGGGCAGCAATGGGGAAAAGTACATGGGATTTTAAAATTCCCTGACATCTCATCAAATCATACAGGCCAGAGAAGGAAGTGCCTTTTAGGTTCCACCCGGCCCCTCCCTCTAATATGCCAATGCAGGACTGGGCCCTGCTGTACTGTTCTAGGGCCTTGCACAGTCTATGGTAAATGTCCCAAGCATCAGGGTTTCCACTGAGACAGCTCCTCCGCCTGATCCAGATCACTGTCCGGAAGTTGGTCCTGGAAGTCAGAAGAAACTTTCCCTACCTTTGTTTCATCCCATAGCTATTATTTCCCCCTTTATTATGCTAGATTATTCCTCCCCCACCTACTTAATGATCTCTGTGGGGGGCAGTGACAGAGAAGGAAGGGACACTTTCCATACAGAATGTTTATCTCAGCAGCATCCCTTAAGGAAGTGTGTGTGTAAAGAAAAGCAGCGTATTCAGGAGGAGAACAGCACCACCACGGGGCAGGGTGTTATTCCTGAGTGAGGTGTCCTGCGGCTCTGAGAGTAGCACTCTTGATTGGGAGTCAAAAGGCTGTCAGTTCCAGTCTCACAGCAGGAATGAAGCCATTGCCAATGCTGGGGCTGCACTGTTGGTAGGGAAGAGGCTTTCAGGCAAAGCATTAACAAGTGTTCCCATCTCTGCAGGGCTACTCAGTAGGAAGAGGGAGAACTCCCGTGTCTCCACCAACACGTTCACCGTTAGTGGAAAAAGATGTGATGTCTGAGGCTCTACATGAGTTATTGCTGAAGAGACTCCTGCGGGCTGGAACTGGGATTGTACATCTCACCTTCACCGTCTCAGTTCCTGCACTGCTCTCTGCTAGCTAAAACGGGGACTGGTCACTCACCCCCTCCACCCCATGTGACCTTGGCAGTCCATTGTTCTGACCCTGGGATTGTGAATGTGAGCCACCCACCTTGTATTCCGCCTTTGGTCTGCGCAGCTCTGGAGCGTAGCTTTTAACTCCTGTGTCAGAGAGAGCTGTGAAGGGGAAGGCAACACACTGAGTAGCGCGTCTGAGATCCCGATTCACATCAACCTTCCCATATTTCCCCTGGTCTAAGCTTCCCCCCAGCACAAGTTTCTTTGTTAAAAGAACAGACTGAGTAGCAAACCCTGGGCCAGCCCCGTGGACTGAGAGGAGCCCATATGTCCAAGGACTGGGCACAGAGCTGCAGTGAACCAGAATGTGAGAAAGTCTGGCTAGAGGCCCCTTCCAACCCACAGGAGGCGCTATTCAGGGAGGTTATTTTCTATCAAAGAGGCAGCATATTTAGCGATTAGAGTGTGGGAATAAGTCAGGAGATACTAGTCTATTTCTGACCCTTCTACTGATTTGCTGGGGGACTTTGGGCAAGTCTGTGCCTTAGTTTCCTCATCTGTAACACGGGCAAGATATAGTGACCCAACTTTCCAAAGGGCTTTGAACTTGGGGCGAAAATCCCCTACGTAAGTGTCAAGTCTTATCCGTCCCTTCCCCCACCCTGCTCAGAAAGGAATAAAAACCGCTCTCTTACCATCTGAAAGGGACTGAAAACTCCCAAGTTTGTTTCTTCCTAAAAGAATCAAACAGGCAACAGTGAGAGATTTTCAGCTGGCTTTCCCCAGGCAGCACCTCTCACCGAAGGAACAGAGAACTACACTCCAAGTGGGCATTGCAGGCTAACTATTAGACAGGGCCAGCCTATGGGAAACGAATGGGGAGGTCTCAGGCATTTCCTACTGGACATCTGTCCATATCACACAACAAAACTGGCACTAACTGACCCCTTGCTGCCACGGGGCCAAGGGCTGAGAGGGTTATGGAGCTTGAACTCCTTCTCACCCCTGGAGGGGTCCACTACAGATCACTGAGCCACTCTGGGG